GAGCTGCTAGATCATCTTCAACAGCAAGAGGCCAGACCTGAGGAAACTGCTTCGGAGGAGGGATGGAGAAACTGAAGAAGTTGCCTACTTCAAAGATTAAGGAAATGTGTGCAAAGTGGCTTGAAGTGCAAAGCTTTTTTGATGAAAATCACCCTCACACAGCTACTGCAAGCCGTGTTGGCAACCAGTACAATGACACTGTTGTGAACCACTTTAGGAAAGTCATACAGGAACGAGAGGTACAGGCCTCTATGGACAGATATGTTGTGTGGCAGAAGTCCAGTGACTCTCAAGCTGTTCCTAGTGGCATTAAAAGAGGAAGGGAAGTAACCCCAGAAAAGGACTTGCTACTTCAAGTCCTAATGGAAGGGGATTCCCCTTCTAAACAATAAGTTCGACACTCTCCCCTCCTCCCATCCCATCAATCATCACCAGATCTTTATTAAAGGTAAGTGTCATGTACTCTATTGTTAGTAGAGTACATACTACGAACTGTGCATGTCTTTTTCAGTTTGTGTGCATTAAACTTAATATTTCATGTGGTAAAAATTTTTTTTCATACTTTTGGGTGTCTTGCATGGATTAATTTGATTTCCATTATTTCTTATGGGGAAAATTGATTCGCTTTCCGATAATTTTGGTTTACGATGAGCTCTCAGGAACGGATTAATATCGCAAACTGGGGGTCCACTGTATTTAGCAAAATATGGCATGTGGCAGTGCTGTACCCTTTGGTGTATGGGGTTAATTCACTTGGAATGAAGGTTGAAGAGCGTTTATGTGAAGCATGGGTTCCTGCGGGTGCGAGAGGAGGGGGTAGAGGGTTAGGGATTGTGTGAGATACACAAATAACCGCACATAAAAGAGAAGCTTACGGCAACGTTTCAGTCCGACTTGGACCATTTACAAAGTCACACAGTGTGACTTTGCAAATGGTCCAAGTTGGACCGAAACGTCGTCGTAAGCTTCTCTCTTTTATGTGTGGGTTATTTGTGTATCGTTCCAGTCACGGTATTGTGCCTTTTTTTGTTGTTTGTGTGAGATATTCGGAGATGGTGGAGGGGATGAGATTTGCGAGATTGCGAGATGTTGCATGTCTTAATGCTCGTCAGAGATCTGAAGAACATGCAGGGAGGGGCCATAGAGAGGAAGCTATGGCCTAGGGAGGCAGTGGCTGTGGAAGGGACGTACCCGATGTATGCATGGAAAGACATTTGGGGAAGGTTAAAAGGGTTGCATATCCGGCCGCGTGTGAGGGAGGTAATGTATAGATTCCTCCACGGGATCTTGCGATCCGGGGTAGTTTTATGTAACAGACGGATCAGGGAGGGGGGGTGGTGTCAAGATTGTGGGGCAGACGAGTCGGCTTTTCATGTCGTTTACTTTTGCGAACATCTAGAGGTTGTGAGGGAATGGATAGGGAAAGTGATTCAGTATGGGAGGGGGGCATTGTCAGTATTGAGAGCACTAAGTCTAGATGTAGGTGGGGTAGAGGTGAAGGTGGCTTACTTAGTGGTTGATTTTGTCTTTATGTCATGGGCAATGAGAGGTAAAGGGATGGGGGAACGTAGGATGGCCCTAGCTGCAACATTTTATAGGATGAAGTGTTGCAACAGGGAAATATATGGGGGGAGGTGGGAGAGGTATTTTCCAGAGGGTTATAGAGATTTTAAGCTGAGGGATTTACGGGCTTTATAGATTGTCAGGGGTAAGAACGGGCTGGTCTCCCCCGGCTGGGAGGGGGGGTTGCGATTGCGTGCGTGAGGAGTGTGTCGCAGTGGTCTGACTGACTGTGTGTGGGATTGTGAGTTAGAAGGGTTTGGAGGGTGGGGGGGGGCTTTTGGTCTGGGTCTGTGAGATGTGTAGGTCCTACAGCAGGAAAGCCTGACGAGTCAGACATGACCCATTGGGCACTTTGTGTGACTGGGGTTTGTGTTGCACGAGTGTTGTAAAGCTTCCTCGAGGTGTTAATATGTGTGATATGCTTATCATATTTGCATTACTGTTTATTGCTTGGGAAATGCCAAGATGGTGATGTAATATTGTATGCTTCAGCAAATAGGATTTTTTTTTTATATTTATATGGACCACATTTTAGGGCAGCTCATGTGTCTTGTCCTTCATGTGTATTAGTGTTCCGGAAGTGGGTTTATCCCCTTTCAACATTACGTATGGTTTTAAATATGAGACATTCTTCTAGAATTTTGTGCATACTCACTTATGTCGGTTGACATGGTATTGTAATATTTGCACTAGCAGGTCATGCGAAACGCATGGTCACAATTATTTTAGATGTCAAATGTTGTCCATTCTCTGTAGGAAGTGATGTACAGATTATCTCTGGCAGTGTAATTAGTCTGTCTGCAGCAGGGAACAATGTGTAAATTTGACTCACGAAATCGTAATGACACGATTGCAAACAAACCATACCACGGGTGGGGATAGAACCCGCAATCAGTGTCTCAAAACTCCAGGCCGTCAAGTGGCCAACGCGACAGCCTGGAGTTTTGAGAGACTGATCACGGGTTCTATCCCCACCCGTGGTATGGAATGTGTATAAATTTTTTATTTTTACTTTTGGTAGGTTTATGTATATAGCCTGTTATTAGGATGATATACACTATACAGGTACCATCCGACTTGCGACCGAGCTTGGTTCCGACCAACCAGTCATAAGTCAAAATGGATGTAAGTCGATCCTTACTACTGAATATCAACATCACATTTTTGTAATGACTTTATTTTGTCATTTTATTTTGGTATTTATTTTTTACTTTACTTTTTATGCTGCTAGTACTGTATTTTATACTGTAAGGTTTAGGATAAACAATGAGTACAATACAAACATTTGTTTATTTCCCAGAAATTTGGCATAAAAAAAAGGGTCATAAGTTGAGTGGTCATATGTTGAGCAGGTCATAAGTCGGATGGTAGGTGTATTATGAGACGTTAATTAATGTCAACTACTGTTTTGGTCGTTATGATTGGTGACAGCAGACACAGTTACTGGGCATGTGGGGAGGGGTTGAAGCATGAGCTGTAGTATGTTAACTCCAGCAACATGAACGCTACCGATTTATACCATAGGGTATATGAAGGTTTGGGATGTGGATTGTGTTATATGGTAGTAGAGCCATTATGAATTGGTTTGGTTTTGTACCAGTGGAGTTTTTGTAACACGTGCGCATACCTATACAGGTATTTGGCATACAATTTAAATTCGTAAGGCACCATTATCACAACAGTGTGGAATTATTGGCGATGGTGTGTTCAGACACTACTTGTACAGCGGACCCTCGACCAGCAATGGCATCGATTAACGATAAATCTGACTAGCGATACATTTTATCGCAAAAATTTTGCCTCGATTAGCGCTAAAAAACTCGACCAACACTATTCCTTCCGTCTGAGACGCGTCCACTTCTGGCCAGTGTTTACAAGCCAACCAGCCACCGCGGTCGCTTCCAAGCATACAGTCGGAACATTTCATATTATCACAGCCTTTTTAGTGATTGCACCTGCAAAATAAGTCACCATGGGCCCCAAGAAAGCTTCTAGTGCCAACCCTACAGCAAAAAGGGTGAGAATTACTATGGATATGAAGAAAGAGATCATTGCTAAGTATGAAAGTGGAGTGCATGTCTCCGAGCTGGCCAGGCTGTACACAAAACCCCAATCAACCATCGCTACTATTGTGGCCAAGAAAACGGCAATCAAGGAAGCTGTTCTTGCCAAAGGTGCAACTATGTTTTCAAAACTGAGATCGCAAGTGATAGAAGATGTTGAGAGACTGTTATTGGTATGGATAAACGAAAAACAGATAGCAGGAGATAGCATCTCTCAAGCGATCATATGTGAAAAGGCTAGGAAGTTGCATGACGATTTAATTAGAAAAATGCCAGCAACTAGTGGTGATGTGAGTGAATTTAAGGCCAGCAAAGGTTGGTTTGAGAGATTTAAGAATCGTAGTGGCATACATAGTGTGATAAGGCATGGTGAGGCTGCCAGTTTGGACCAAAAAGCAGCTGAAAAATATGTGCAGGAATTCAAGGAGTAAATAGACAGTGAAGGACTGAAATCTGAACAAGTGTTTAATGGTGACACTGACAATGTTGTGAAACACGTTAGGAATGTCATAAAGGAACGGGAGGTACAGGCCTCTATGGGCAGATATGTTGTGCGACAGAGGTCCAGTGACTCTCAAGCTGGTCCTAGTGGCATTAAAAGAAGGGAAATAACCCCGAAAAAGGACTTGCCACCTCAAGTCCTAATGGAAGGGGATTCCCCTTCTAAACACTAAGACCATCAACACACTCCCCTCTTCCCATCCCATCAATCATCACCAGATCTTCAATAAAGGTTAGTGTCATGTAACTGTGCATGTCTTCTTCAGTGTGTGTATTAAAATTAATATTTCATGTGTTAAAATTTTTTTTTTTTCAATACTTTTGGGTGTCTTGCACGGATTAATTTGATTTCCATTATTTCTTATGGGGAAAATTAACTTGACTAACGATTATTTTGACTAACGATGAGCTCTCAGGAACGGATTAATAGTGTTAGTCGAGGGTCCACTGTATTTATAGTATCAGCCGTTTACTGGCTGGATTTGTGTTTATATAATGTGTCATTGAAGTTTTTCATGCTAAGTTCTCATAAATGTTCACATATAAGAGATGTCACTGTGTATACTAATGTGAAAGTGGAATGTTTTTTCGGGGGGGGGGGGGGGGGGGGGGGGGGTAAGCATTACTGAGTAGGTATCCATTGCTTTTTTATAACACCATCTGTTCATGTGAAGCACAGTATGCAGAAGCAGTGTTTGATTTGAGTGAAGTCAGTTCTGATGTCATTTTTATGTTTGTGCTTATTTCAGTAGCTTGTGTAGCCACAGCTGATTATTGCTCACCACCTGCATCTTGTTACATATTAATTTATGTAGCCATATATATTTTGTACCTTAAGTTTTAAATATAAAAAAAAAAATTCAAATTTCTAACCTCTTCTTGATGATAGAAAGATTAGCTTGCAGTTTCTCATATGGCATTTCTGTCCCAGGGTCCATCTGGGACATAGCCACTTTCTGGGCAGCACAAACCAGGGGAGATGCATGGAAGCATCGTGCTTGCACTTGTCCCCTCACCACGAAGCTCAGGCTCTGCAAACAATGTTTTATCAATATCATATATGTAATTATTACTACATAACACCATTTTCCTGGACAAAGATGTTATGGTAAAAAAAAAAAATGGTAATAGTTCACCTAGCCATGTCAAAGTTTATGATTTTTAGCTTAGAATAACCCCATATAACATACAATAGTGTAACTCATTGCAAGTGGGGCTCCCCATAAAGTGTGACCCATAACAACCAATTAGCACTTAGGTACTGGGGTACCTATTTTATTGTTAGGTCAGCCAGGTCAGCAGGCATAAGAGAACTTGTCTTTACTTATCACTACCTGGAAAAACCTGAGACGAAAAATAATAGGATGGATAAAGAGAACTTTGAAAATAAGGGATGTTATGCCAATGATGATCCTTTTTAAGTCACTTGTTCACTCTAGGCTGGGATAATGCTGTACACTAACAGCTCCATTCAAAGCAAGTGAAATCACAGACCTAGAGAATGTACAGAGAACCTTCCCTGCCTGCCAAAATTGGGGTGTATCTTACATGTTCATGCTCTTTTTATGCAGGAAAATACAGCACCTTAATTACAGCTTCTCCTCACTTAACGACGGAGTTACATTCCTAAGGCCACGTCGTTAAACGAATTCGTTGCTAAGTGAGGAGCATACTATAATGGTAGCAAGTTTGTCTACCATTTTTGATATTGTTTTAATGTCACTTTTGCACCATTTATAACATTTCTGGTAAATTTATAAATGCTTATACAGTAGTGTACTGTATATTGAAATAAACAGAATAGAGGAAATCAGCTCTAATATACGCTATTTAGGTATAAATACTGGTCAGAGAGCCCGTCGTAAGTCTGAGGCATCAGTAAACAAGACGTTACTAAGTGAGGAGAGGCTGTATTGGGAACATTTGGAGTCTTTTGACCCTCACTCCCTGGAATGCAGGCAGGAGAGATTATTATAATCAAAAAAGAAATGCTAAACCAAAAGAGCTATACAGCAGTAAGAGAGAGACATCATAATCTACACCTGGAAAATCCTAGAGGGACTGGTCCCAAATCTGCACATAGAAATCACTCCTTACAAAAACAAAAGATTAGGAAAACAGGGCAACAAACCCCAAATAAAAAGTAGGAGCACCACGAGTATACTGAGAGAAAACATAGCAAGTCCCTGGGGCCAAAGACTGCTCAACAGCTTCTCACCATGCATAAGTGGGGGACAGAGAGGATAGATGTGGGGGAGAGAGAGGATAGATATAGGGGAGAAAGGATAGATGTAGGGGAGAGAAGACTGATGTGGTGGAGGGCAGATGTGGGGAGAGGGGACAGATGTGGGAGAGAGAAGACAGATGTGGGGGAGAGAGAACAGATGTTGAAGAGAGAGAACAGATGTTGAGGAGAGAGAACAGATGTTGAGGAGAGAGAACAGATGTTGAGGAGAGAGAACAGATGTTGAGGAGAGAGAACAGATGTTGAGGAGAGAGAACAGATGTTGAAGAGAGAGAACATGTAGACAGCCTGTACTGTCAGAACACACAGCCTAGCCATCTGCTCTGACTAGTTCATATTTTGCGGCATTTAGGTGCTGCCCTCTGTAGGCTCACCCAGGTCAGTGGGAGGCTCAGCCCAGCCGCTCTCACTCCTAGGCCGACCGACTTGACAGACACAAGTGCTTCCCCTCCATGGACTGGCTTGCGGTCACTCCCTCACACTGCTCGTTGTGTACTCACTCCTACCCAATTAAAGCCAAACTAGTCCATGGCCGTATCATTGCTACCTACGCTACCTTCATCGGCACTAAACCGCTGTTCAGCAGTAAGAATAGCAATAACACAGTGCTGAGGAGAGAGAACAGATGTTGAGGAGAGAGAATAGATGTTGAGGAGAGAGAACAGATGTGGGAGAGGACAATGTGGGGGAGAGAACAGATGTGGATAATAATTATGGGGGAGTGCTAAACCCATAGGATTATACAGCACATGTGGGGGGGAGATGGAAAGTATCCAGGCTCAATTCAGGGTACCGGAGTACAGATCCAATTTCCTAGATCAAGAGCCCCTCAGCAGTGTCAAGGACCCTCCCTTGAGGGGACAGATGCAGAGATTACACTTGATATCTCCCGAAATAATAATTTGTCCTAGAAATAACTGTTTATTCTGTTGTGTAGACAGCCTATATGTATCAAAATATAACACACATTTAATTTTCTCGAGGAGCATCTTTCAATTATAAATAAATAGGTAAGGTAGCATGTGCTACTATTTATATTATAATCCGGGGGAAGCGTTCAACTAGTAGGGGTCACATAGCGCCTAGGGTGTGGAAAGCATTCAAGTTCAATCCCAGGAAGAGGACACATCCAATTCTTTGGATCAAATAATTAACACACAATATGTAACATTACCAATAATTTCTGGAAATTACTTAAATCTTAAAAGTTCAAGACAACATATAGCAAATTGATTATCTTTTGTTATATATCGTAATGTGACAAATCTGTACAACCATAATGCTTCAATATCGATATGTTCAAATTTCAGTGTTTCAAATACTCAATTGTACTTCATATTGTAAATTATTTACTGTAATTTTTAACACTGAACCTTTCATTGCTTGTTAATTTTAAGCCTGCCCATAATGCTCTGCATACAAGGGGTTTTTGGCATGTTCACTCAACTACTATAATTCATTGTACAACTATGTATCATGTCCAAATAAAATATGTGAATATGAACATAAATATAAAGGGCCCTTCATCGACGTTATTCCTTAATGTTGAGAGATGGTGGCCGCCGGGGAGCCAGTCAGCTGATCCACCACCGGCACGACACTCATAGCTTATTCACCTCACACACACATACATTCACCTCACTAATTCAAGCAGTATTCAAGGAAGGACGCCTCCACTTAATTCTATAACAAGTGTTGCTAATGCAATATATTACAGACCCGAGGTAGAGCCCAGGTCATCACCAGCGCCATGACTATGTTGATCACACTGCTGCTGCTGCCATCTATCTTATATACTCTTCCCTGTGAACAAGTTCTTATTTAGGTATTTTTGTATATACATAATTAAATTTATTTAGGCCTATACATATGTTTAAACTCCATAAAATGGTATATGGGAAAGACAGATAGCAGACTGTGATGAGTACTGTGTACTCTACAGAGTACATCTGTGTTCGAGGTGTCTCATATTCAATTTGTAATTACCTATTTGCATTCAGTTAGGACACCTTTACTGAAAATGTTTTGGTTATGGTTGGTTGGTAAGGTTTGTCAGGAAACAGGACCAGATTTTGGTCATGTGACCTTGATCACTTTAAATATATGAAGATGAGAAAGATGGGAGCTGGAAACTTGTCTCCTTCCCTACAACTGTAAACCAGGATTATTACTATTAGTACACCGGAAACTTGGTGGTAGTGCAGTCCTAAGTTTATTGTGTTGTTAGTCTTGCTGTTCATGGTAACCTTTTTGTGGATTTGTTCTAACAGAGTGCCCCTCAAGGAAGGTTCCTTGATGCTGGTGATGGGCTCTTGATCTACGGAATTGGATCTGTTCTCCACTTCCCTGAATTAAACCTAATACCTTCCACGTCCCCCCACAGGCGCTGTATAATTCTAAGGGTTTAGCGCTTCCCTTTGATTATAATATAATTCTAACAGTGCAGGAAGGTTGCACTTTGCAGAGGAAATAGTCACTTCGTCTTACTTTTTTGTTACTATACAATAATATATATTTGCGTAAAGTAGACTGGCATGCTGCTCTTACCTATATTTTTTTTGTACCTCTATATGTATGTTGAAATTATTAAATAATAAATAAATAAAAAGGCAAGATAATGGCAAATGTAACTCCTGGTGAGGTAGTTTCCACCTCACCAAGAACACAGTCAGTCAGATCTGGTCCATTATTCCACCTCATTATGAGTCTTCACTGAGGCGGAGGTGACGGTGGAGCACACATACATTATGGCCTCACATATACAAAGTACATTTATTTATTTTCATTTATTTATTTATTTTATGTCTTTGCAAACAGTACATTGAGATTTTGTATATACAATAGTGAGTTGCAATACAAGGAGAGCCTCTATTATGCCAACTTAACATTATTGACTTACAGACTACTTAACACTAAGGATTATATCATAGTTGTACAGTAGGATAGTAGATTATTTAGTATAGTAAGTAAGTAAGTAAGTTTATTCAGGTATACACAAATACAGTTACATAGAATTATCATACATAGCAGCATATGTGTAGAGAACCTAGGATAACCCAAAAAAGTCAGACAGAGTGACTTATTTCCAGTGCATTATTAATTATAAGTGAATCAAAATTTGTATAAGACAAAAGATAAATTCATCTATTCATTATGCATATTGAATCTATAACCCGATGTGACTTATTTACATTAGGGTTCCCATGATAAACTTTTTTAAGAAATCTACAAAATGATTTTACAGACATAATACACATTCGTACAACAGTTGTGAGGACACATGTCCTGCATATATAATACATCATGGAGAATTTAATACAGGGTAATTTAATAAGTCAAACTATGTAATTTATTTCTATTGGTGTCCTTAATATTGTACTCTCATTTGTAAAATTACATTAATTAATTAATAACAGTTACGACGAATAATTTTTTTTTGTTATTAGAGCGATATTGACTTAAGCAAAGCGAACTCTTTGTGTAACAATTTATTTTTGTTATAATAAAAAATATTAACTATCTTTCGTATTCTCTAGATATAACACGTAGTATTTATATAATTAGATATAAGCACCATATTTGAATTAAGAAAATATATACACTATATAGATTCAAAATATCGACATGATGTATATTATGGCTGACAACATAAAAATAACATTTATCGAATTAAAAAATAATTTCTGGATAGCGTAAGGAGTATATCAGTGGAAAAATCAATTACTTAAATTTAAAAGAAGAGTAATATTTAAGTAGAAAAATTTACCTTACTATTAAAATTGCTGCATATTTGCAAATGTGTCAGAATATTCTGGAAGGTTGCGGGTGTTAGGTTGGCAGTGCTGGGTAGCTGTCTGCTGGGACTGACTCGACACAACATAAATTT